ACATTAGTTGTGTGCCCAAGGTTATTCTTTTAGTGGGAAATGGACCATATTTACTCTCTTCCGAATATTGGCTACCAAAAAAGCCCAATTTTACCTCATTTTTTGTGTTTTGAAACATCGATATGCGTGATAAACGTCTTGTGTGCAATTCATATGGGATTGTTTCACGAGAACAAATAAAATAAATAAATAAATGGAAATTTACATCCCACTCCCAGGCAACCCTTTCCGTGCTAATAAATAAGGATGAAGTTTCTGTAGGGCCTAGGCCTTATGAAAACAAAATAAAGTCTCGCCTCAAATACACATCTAAAAAGCACTTTCGGCATCAGAAATCTTCATGATGGCTCTAAAATTAATTTCTAACACCGACAAGAAAATTTGAAACTAAAAAAATGGTATAGATCTTGCAGATCTATGAACACTTATTTTTAGGAAGAAATGGATGGTTTAGATGATTTGTTGCAATATATACTATTTTTAAAATATTGAATCTTAATATTTTTGCACAATCATAATGTTCAAGCTGAGATGATCGATTTAAAGGTTTTTCAACACTTGATTTATAATTTTTGATGAGTTATGAGGGTAGCGGCCCTATCAAACCAAATTCCAATAAAGAAAGCCCTATATATTATTTTATTTTATTTTCTTCTAAACAAACCCCCCAGCATGCCTTTTCAAGTTTTTTTTTTTTCATTCCAAAGTCCCCTTGTATATTGAAAATAAAAGTAAAAAGAAATCCACACAATATCCCCTGCATAATTTATAGTTTTTAAGGCAAAATTATATAAACCTCCTGCATTTCAGTTCTACAAGTGGGCCCCTCACTAGTTTTGTCATTACACCCAAGCCTTGTTACGCTTTTCTTTTGTATACCGTAAGAAGATGCAATTTCGGCCCAAAAATGCAATTTGTGTCTCATAAACCCAAAAATGTTTTTTTAACTTTTAATTATAAATTTAAAACTTCAAAATGATGTTGATCAAGCATATAAATAAGCAGTTGTCATCTTGAAAATGGATGGTCTATATAATATGTTACAAAATACACTATTTTTTAATTTTTAATTTTTTATTTATTTTTCATCTCTATACATCTTGGGATCAAGATCGTCAATTGAATGATTTTCCAAAATGAGGACAATCTTGTTAATATTATCTCGCATTGGTATAAACAAGACCCCTCATGTCAACAAAGAATGATTGGGAAGCATCATTCCTCCTCCCTAAGTTCATAAAATAAATAAATAAATAAAAATGTCCCTCTACCCCTTGTTGTTGACGTCAATGGTGAAGGGAATTGTTTACATTCCGTATGGATATGAATAGGTCCATTAGTGTAAACAATACTCTACATAAAAAAAGAAAAAAAAAAAAAACTCTCCATAAATATCAGTTACTTACCAAATCAAAATCAATAAATTTCGAGTCAAGATTCCTTGGCGTTATTGTCAACAAATGCGTAGAGCTAATCCAAAACCTACAGTCTGTGTACGGAAAAAGCTTACCTAAGGTTACAACGTTATATTAAAAATTTATATTAGAGAAGTAAGGAGCATCTCAAAATTTTTTATAAAAAAAGCTTTTGGAAGTTAGAAAACCCCTTTCTAATTAATCATCTTGACCTTGAATTGTATGGATATAAAGAAAAATTATAAGTTTAACTCTTAAAAATTACACATATTGTAATGTGATCTAGTCTATCTAGTTTCAAAATTTTCAAGTGTTTATAGATCTATTTGATCTACACTATTTTTTGAAATTTTAAATATCATAATTAGAGTTTTTTTGGGTAAGTTTAGTTGTAGGAATCAAACTTGAGATGTAATGTTGGTTGATGTCAACCGCTAATCACTCAAACCCAAGCCCGATTCCTAATTTCATAATTAGAATTAAACACATTTCAAGCTGCCATAAGATTTTTGACACCGAAACTACATCTTCTGACAAACTTTATAAGTGTGCCTTGTATAATATAAGATGGACACCTTATATAAATCCCACCCTTTAAGAAAACATAAATGGGTTTTTAATTCAATAGTATTTTGATAGGTGCGGTGTTTTATACTAATTCTTTAGTTGGGTTACACATGTACCATGGACACATTAATCTCTTACTTGTATAATATAAGATGGACACCTTATATAAATCACACCCTTTAAGAAAACATCAATGGGTTTTTAATTCAATAGTATTTTGATAGGTGTAGTGTTTTATACTAATTCTTTAGTTGGGTTACACATGTACCATGGACACATTAATCTCTTAGGTTTTAATTTTAATAGGTTCAAGTGGAAATTTAGATTGCAAAATGCTTAAAATGCAGATAATAATTTTCTAAATTGAGGAAATTGCTGTTTTCGATGGTTTAAATTGAGCAAATTTTTACGAAACTATAGAAGTAATTGTTACTTTTGCTTGGCAAAAACAAAAAAAAAAACTTCAAAGCAATTGATGAATAAGAGTTTTTTTTTTTTGCTAATATATCGGTTGGAAAAGCGAGCACTTTGTCTGTCTTATTTTTTAGTGCATATACAATACTCCCGCGGGAGTTTACCCTGCATCTACTCCACTCCTAAGACCTACACAGAAGGATTTTTTCAATATGGATTTTTGAAGGAAATGTATACAAAGAGACCATTCATTTTTAATTCAAGGAGGTTACAATCACTTGTTTTTGTCAGATTTCAAATCGGGTAGTTGTGACTTAAGAGTATATCATTGACTAGATCTAAAGTTTTAAAAAAATATCTTGAACTTTGTTTCACACTCAAGCCATCCAATTTGACATCTAATCGCTAGTGACAATTGTCTTATAGTATACAATCCTAATTTCGGGAACCATCCAAGAATTAGTAGATAATTATTTCCAAAAGAAAACTTTTAATTTTGAGTTTTTTGACACTTAAGATCTAGCTCTTCAAAAATAGGACGATCTCTGTTCAACCTTGAGGCTTTTTTTTTTTGTCACATAGAGAGTTAAAATTAGAATTTCTTTTAGAAATTAGTCTATGCGTCGAAGAGGTTACAACCCCAAAATTTGGGTTCGTATCCTATATGGGTTTTACCTAAGGGATTAAATGGATAGTATTATACTTTATGTACGTGTACTATATTTTTACTTCTTTTTCGTGGTTTGTATAAAGCCTAGGCTTTCATCAAACAAAGTAAAGCCTCATCTCGAAGCATCATCTAGAAAGCACTTCGGGCTTTGAAAATCTCTATGTTGGTTGTAAAATCAATATCCAACACCAACTATGAATGTTGAAGCTCAAAAAATGGTACAGATCTTTCGAATATGTGAACACTTATTTTTAAGATAAAATGGACAATCTAGATTATATTTTCTGATGTGCAATATTTTTAGGGTTTGAAATCCTAATTTTTTTTTCAACCGTAACGGTCAAGGCCAAGATAATCGATTCAAAGGTTTTCCTATATGAAAACTACAATTTTTGGTAAGCTTTGTAGCGAGGCTTGTTTTGATTGGACTGCAATCGTATCAAAGCATTTTTCTGTTTTTTTTGTTTGGTCATTTTCGGATGGATGCAGTTTCTACAAGACTTAGGCCTCATGAAAGAAAAGTGAAGTCTAACTTTGAAATCTTAACTGGCGTGAGAAACTTAAAGATATCTTTAAAAATCCATTTCCACCACCAATTGTAGTTCAAAAAACAATATAGAGGTTTAAATAATGCGTTATAATATTCACCATTTTTAAAGCATAAAGTCTTATTCACTATTTTTAAAGCTTAAAGTCTTACTTTTATTTTTCACAACCATAATTATCAACGTCCCGGGACGGTAGAGTTGAAGATTTTCCAACACCAGAACATTTAACTGTAGGTAAAATTTGAGGTGAGGCTTTTCTTTTTGGAAAATTGTTTTGTGTGGGCTGGACTGCATTTCTACACGTACAGTCTAGAAAACATGCATTTTAAAGATGGATGCAAATAGTTGTTCTATCTAAAAACAATGGAAACTAACCGTCCAAATGTTTTTTTTGACTAGAATTATTATTTTTAATTGTTAAAATTAATTTATTTTTTCATATTCATGATCTCTATATTAGAGATTACATGCCTTTAAAAATTAAGTCTTAAAATCTATCTAATCCGCAGTTTTTTTTTTTTTTCTCCCGGCCTTATCTTAACCTTTTACTTGTCTGAGGAAATAGGTGGGGCTTCAAGTGGGCAATTTCGGCCGCTTGTTGTGGTAATGTCAAGAAATTGGAACACGGAAGCATACGCGTAATTGAGCAAGTTCAAAAGACGACCATCATAATTACCTCAACTCAAACTCTACTCTACTCTACGCTCATTTCTCTCTTTGTACTTTCGTTGACTTCACATCCATAACAAGAATTCCCACTCACTCCTCCCCCCCCAAAACTCAAAGTCCACTGATTCTGAATTCCACAAAATTGAGAAATGGCCACTTGTTCCAATGGCTGCTACAAACACATCTTCTTCCTCTAATTCCTTCTCTGCACCTTCATCTCAGAAAAGAAAAGAAAAGAAAAGAAAATCAGTACCTTGTGCAATTTCATCACAAAATAGCCCATCTCCTTGCCCCTCCAACTTCATTATGAAAATGCTCATACTTTCTTATTGTAGTTCCATCCGAGAACCAACCCAACCTTTTATTTCTTAGTCTACAATTCCACTGAGAAAATCAAACTCTCCTGCGCAATTCAATCGAGCAAAAGAAAGAAAACCACCTTCTATCTTCTCAGCCGACCTGAAAAAAGCTGTCATCTCCAGATTTGCAGCTCCATTGACGGAAATCCTAAGTAGCTTCTCCAGTCCAAAAAAACCCAATATATTACATTCCTTCTTTTAATCTAACCTCAAAACCCATCTCCTCTCTTTGGTGCCACCTTGAATTTCTGCAATCAAACTTGAGAGAAAAGCTGCAATTCAACCCCAAACACGTCTTCTCTGTTCTTCTAACCCAACCCCAAAAACCATCTCATTTCAAGATTAGATCGCTGAGTCAATGGGGAAGCTAAATGTGGAGTCCATCATCATGCACTTCAGCCACCTCCACCAGCTCCAGCTCACCAACCTCGCCGCCGCTGATTGCTACCCACCAAGCCTGTGCTCAGGTTGCGGCCTTGCCTGCACCGCCTGGGCCTATAGATGCAACCCCTGCGCATTTTCTATGCACATAACATGCGCCCAGCTCCCCCAGAGCGTCACCCACCCCTCGCACCCGCCTCATCCCCTCTCTCTCCTCCCCTTCCCCGCCTACAAAGAAGGCTTCTTCCACTGCAACGCCTGCTCTCGCCAAGGCAGCAATTTCTCGTACCATTGCTCCATATGCGAGGTCGATCTCCACACTTTCTGCGCTTCTATGCCCCTCTCTTTGACAAATGTGACCCATGTTCACCCGCTGACCCTGGCCTTTGCACCGCCATATGTGAACAGAGGATTCAGCTGCGATGTATGCAGTGGCGTCGGGGGTGACCACTGGCTCTACCGGTGTGCCGCATGCTGTTTCGACGCACACCTCCATTGTGCCACTGCCAATAGGCCTGCAAGCCAAACCCCGCCCAATGCACAACTTCCTAGGCTACAGACCCGTCCCCAAGCTCAGCCGGTGGTGGGTTTTCCTAGCGTGTATAGCCAACCAGGTGGGTCAAGCCAAGTGGTGGGTCAGGTCAATGTGGCAAGGCCAGTGGCCTGGCAAGGCTACGATGCAGGGGTACCAGGGGTTGTTGGGGTACAGGGCTATGGGGCGATGGCGCCCGGAGTGGTGAGGGCGCCTCAGGGCTCTGGGCCTGGTGCCATGGGCGCACCACAGGGCTATGTAGCCCGGCCGCCTGGTGCGGTGGCTGGGCAGGGGAATAATGGGCTGATGGAGACTCTTGTTCAGGCGTTTGTGGGGGGGATGGCGGACCAAATGGGGCAGAGTCTTTTGGGGGGGGGTGTTGGGTGGTGGTAGGAATGGTGGTGGAAATGGTGGCGGCGGTGGCGATGGTGGGGATGGTGGCGGAGGAGTGGATGTTTCTGGCGGAGATGGAGGTGGGGTTGTGGATTTGGGGTCCACTGAGTACTGATCAACTTCTTTTCCCTCTCTCTCTCTCTCTCACTCACACACACACATAATGCTGTGTGCGTGTCCTCTCTCTCTCTCTATGGGGTGCAAGTTGCAGTTGTGCTTCTGCATCTTTACTTGTGTCATGTTCTCTCTCTCTCTCTCTCTGTCTATTTGGACATTCTCTGATCGTCTTCACAGCAAAATATAAGGACTGCTCTCACTCTCTCCTCCCTGCCTTTGGCTTTCTGTCTGAACTTTTAGCTTCTTTGTAACTTAAACAGGCCACTGTTTGGATGGACGCAATGCGTCTTATATCGTGGCAAATAATAGCAAGATTTGCTTGTTTTATTTCACGCCTTTTTTGCCTTTTTATTTATGATGTCGCTTTTATTTTTATGAAAATTATTTATGAGACCCGTTGCTCTATTTCATGTTTGATTTGAATGACGAGGACTCTCAAACATCAATCTGCCATGGCCCCAGAACTGCAACTTCAACTCTTTGTGAGTGTCCAACATTGACCTGACCTTTCTCTTGTGGTTTGGTCAAGGGAGCCGATGCCTCAACATAACGTCCCACCCTCGTTCCCACCATTAACGTATTCAAAAAATAAAAAAATGGTTTATTTGGCGTGTTGTGTCAAATATCGAAAGTTATTTCCCTTGATGTTCGAAAAATGAGAGTTTTAAAAAAGGGGTTAGGGTTGCGGTGATAGCACCCCTACACCCTAATCACTACATTATGGTATTCATGTTTCTTTATACCACCCCACCAGCGCCTTCAAAAAAAAAGCTAACTCTTAAATTATTTGAAAAAATGGGTACGGTCTGCCTTCTCTATTGAATTATCCCAAAAAATAAAAAGATGCAGGGCATTTTTTTTCTTGATTTGCAAGAGCCTGTCTCATAAAATGACTCTTTTTTGCGGTTTTTCTGAGAGTGGCTTTTGATAATTATTGAATGCATCCTAAGTCACACTAGAAACACTAGATGCATTTCTGCTTTAGATTCATAATTATCGTAGATTTCATGATCTAGGAAAGTTAAAAATGAATGGTCCCAAAGAAAACTCCAGTTATACATTATTTTTTATAATTCAAAATTTATCGTGATCTTGTTTGAAATTATGGACCTCTAAAATTATGATATTTGACTTACCTTTGGCTTTCTTTTGAATTGGTCAAGCAAGGATTACCATGTAAACATATTTCACCTTGAAAATAAAAGGTGAAAACAAATTACGAAGAGGATATACAAATTTCAACGGTTTTACCATAGCAATGAAGTGCACAATGAGATTTTACACAAGTATGTTACTATGTTCGTAACAGTATTATCATAATCGAACTGGCAACCAAATTGGTAAAAGTTTTGATGTATTGTTCAATACTGATTTGTCCGATCTGTCAAAATCAGTCAAATATTAATTTTGATCGGTGTTCAACCAAATTCAACTTTTATCTTGAACTAGAATGAGCAAAGCACTGATCGGTAGTCCAACCAGCAGGACCACCGGTCTTGATAATTATGGTTTGTAATGTGTTCACATGCTCAAAAGCCATCATCTAGCAAATCCTATACCTGTCAACTGTTTTTCTATTAAGTAAAAAGAATTAGTCTCACTAAAATAACACCTCTACAGCCTTGTCATTTTGAAGAAACAAATTCTTGAAAACAGTATTTGATGAGTGGGGTGAGTTGTACATCTGCCCTGTTTTTTTAGGCATTTAGGACTCGAAACAAATCTTGAATTAGTGCAAACCTCTTTCCACTAAAGATCCAGGAATTCGGTTAGTGGATATCCGTAGACAGTCAAGAACTAATGATCTTTGAAAAGCTAAAATAAATTATCCAAAGATATACTATGGAACTAATTTTCTATACTCAAATTTCATTTCGTTTTGCCATTTTTTCAGGTTCAAGATGGTGGTGCCCTATATTTTAAACTGCAAACTTTTTGGGCCAAAATCTACCTCCAGGATATTTACCCTAGGAAAAAGTTTATATAAGGATGCTACCTTATAATGTAGAACTACGGATGCCCCTAAAAAGTCCATCGGAAAATGTAGTTTTAATGTTCAAAAACCCTTTGATTGATCATCTCGACATCAAGATGTATGACTATGAAAAATAACAAGATTTTAAGTCTAAAAAATAATGCATTTTACAACATATTATCTACACCGTCCATTTTCAAGATTTTCATATGTTTATGAATCTACTTGATTTTAACCATTTTTGAAATTTATAATTTTATAATTAGATATAAAATTAGATTTTGAGATAATCCTAAGAACATTTTACCTCAAAAATTATATACCATGATAAAATTTGCAGGTACACCTTACCTCTACACCTACGGATGCATCTGTATGCAAACGGCACCCTTTACCCTATGCCTTATGATGAAGAACATCTATTCTATTTATTGATAATTAAAATCAGGTACATTAATCTCCACCATCGGTCATTCACTTCATTTCTGAGTTACTAACCTCGAAAGAATTCCCATTCTAGGATTGGCATGGCCGGGCCAGCCCTGGCTCTAGTCCCCATTAGATCGGCCTAGGCCCGGTCCTGTCCAGATTGGGCCAAAGAGGCCCCAGCCCGCCCTGGACATATAGGACTCGGCTGGGCCAAATAAAATTAAAAAATATAAAGAAAAGAAAAGCGGGCCTACCCTGAGCTGTGGTTGCTCGGTTCTCATGCTACATTATGCGGCCCGAGTCCTCGTTTTTTGGGGTCCTGGGGGTCCATTACCATCCCTATTCCGTTCACAATGTTCGATATCTGTAGTCATGTGAATGATTGATTAGGATGGTGGTCCACATCTCTCTCAATCGCCATCCAATTAGTGCGGTGCCGAGCCTCGTGACTTTTAACATTCCACGAGGTCAAGACCATTTTCCATTCTGTGAATCTTAAAACGTACTTCCGTTCTTAATATCGTCTCTCTCTATTCCGTATCCATCACAGCAATCTCCTGGATGAAATTACATATGCACTGGATATATTTTACGGAATTAAAAATGGTCTTTTGATATATTTACTTTGAGGTTAACAATTTTCAAGATTTTCTACTTCCCAATTTACCCTATCCAATTCTTTTTTGATTAAAAATCAGTTCAAAGACTCAACCTTCAAATGGAACTTTTCTTAAAATGGCCGATCAAAGATCCAAATTTCCAACGGCCCTAAATGCATAGGAGTTTCGAGGTTCGAAACCGCCTTGCATACTCTACAATAAAGTGTGCTAAGCAGTTCAAAGGTTCGATTTTCAACATGCATAAATATATGTTCCACATGCAGTTTAGAGTAGTTAAAAAGTCCAATCTTTGAACTGCCTACTTTAATGTTTTTTTTTTATAGCAATAAGCAGTAGTTAGAGCGGATGGATTGGCTATTTTTTACCAAAATAAATAAATAAATATATAAATACAATGAAACTATTTACTTTAAAAACAAGGTGGGCAAGGTTGGCACAGTTAATTTTGACCATTGAATGTAAAATTAAGTAATTGTATTTATTGCATTGACCAAACACAAAGTTCAAAATAATTTTTTTTCCAAATTTGTAACACACCCAAACTAATCATATTTGATACATGACAATTATAAGTAAAGGTGTGGTTTCCATAAAGTTGCAACCTTAAACAATCCAATCAAGACACACCTTCAAATTTGATCATAACATATTAAACATATGATCACATAGATCAAATAGATCTATAAATAGATCAAACATTGATCAAATAGATCTATAAACATATGAAAATTTTAAAAAATGGATGGTCTAGATAATGTGTTGTAAGACGCACTATTTCTAAGACTCAAAATCTTTTTTTCTTTCATAATCATTCATCCTGATGTCGAGATGCTCAATTAGAAGGTTTTTCAACATTCAAATAATATTTTCCAATATATTTTTGAGGTGCATCCGTAGTTCTACATTTTACATTTTAAGGTTGCAACTTTATACAAACTTTTTCCTATAAGTAATTGTGACCTACCAAACGTGAATAGTCGTATTCAATTCCATTTTTTTATTCCATAAATTATTTTTGGGTCCGTAAATTTCCTTCGTGAATGCTTATTAATGGAGGGGAGACTTTCCTTTTAAGACAAGCAAAAATACCATACTATTTATTACGTTGATTAGGGGTGAGCACCATACAAACCAAAATTCAGCTACATCTGAGGGAAAAGAGAGAGGATATCCTCGAAATTCTTCATCACATAGCAATTAATTATATTCATTCATCCACAATCGGAGCGAGAAAGAGAAACCCTTATATATCCTCGAAACTCTTAATCACCTGCAAGTCACAAGAAACCCTCATAAATGCATAACATTGTCAAAATTTAAATTAAGATAAAATAAAATTAAAAAAAAAATAAAAAAGAAGGAAAAGACAGGGATCTAACTCCTCTGAAGTCACCCATATATTTTTTGGAAAAAAAGAAGAATAATACCCAAACAGACCCCATTATAGAGGAATTCAACTAGAACCATTTCTGTTCTAGTCTAATCCCAAAGCATTACAATCTCTTACCATATTAAAAAGCACATTAAGTTAGAAAATTTGCATCTGATAACCAAGAGCACATGAGACCATAGTTACCAAGTTAGGAAATAATAAATTATCGACATACCAAAACATGAGTAATAAATCGGTTTACTTCAAAACATCGGAGGAAAAAATCAGGTAAAAAATACGGATCGCCAAAAAGTAAGAGAAGTTATAAAATCGTGAATATTTCGGATTTGGTTCAAAAAAAAGTAGTGAAAAAATCAGATATGTAAGGATGACAAAATATAGGATTATGATTAGTAGTTGTTGCATATATATACATTAAAGCCATTTAAATAATATTTTTATAGCCTTACTAGTGTCATGAGAGTTGATACTTGACAATTTTTTGTTGAAACTTTCAAAAAATCCAGCAACAATGCTTACTCTGTTATCACAGCACAAAACAAATCATAGATTTATTGGAAGCATAACATGAAACAACAACAATACTAAACATAAGAACTAATTAGCAAATAACAAGAACACTGACCCAAGGTATAGGATTATTTCTCAAAGGAAATAAACAAAAACCACCCTCAATATAGGATTGCATTAATTAAAAGAAAACAAAAAAGCCCAAATATGTGAAATAGTGGTCCATCTAAAATGCTATGTTAATAAAAAAATAAAAAATGAAACTAATCAAACTTCTCTATGCATAAAAAAAGCTCTATGCATAAAAAAAAACAGCAAATTACTTAAGCAAATTCGAATCTCGTACTGATTTCCTAGCTACCTAAATCTTTAATATCATTGAATCTCTCTCTTGCTCTCTATAAGGACGCTATGGGTTCAAAGAAAACGATTTTTCATTAGGTTACTCTTCTTCTAGCTATTATTTTGAGATATACAATTGTTTGATTACTTTTTTTTGGGGGAATATATTGCTTGTATTTTTCGTACACTTTTTCCAAAGGAACTCATTGATGAAATTTTTAATGGAAATTTTTGTTAAATCAAGATTCTTAATTTACTCCCCCTTTTAATGTATTTATCTTTAAACCAAAATTCAATAATATTAAATTAATGAAGAAATAAAGTGATAGGGAAAAGGTTTTTTAGTTTTTTTGAAAAAATTTCAAATAGAGACTTATATTGGTTCCATTAAAAAAATACGATTTTTTGACGATCTTTTGAAAACTCAAAAGTTCTTCACGGATCTCAAAAAATTGAAGAGTTTTTGAAAAAATCGTGTTTTAAACGGAGACTTACTAATCTTGAGACCGAAAGATATATGGCAGTGAAAAACAATAGAACTTTGAAACTAAATGGAAGATGTAGCTACCTTGTTCTCAATGACGGCTCCATCAGGAATTTCCAGTTTCTCTCCCGGTTTAGCAGCAATGGTCACTTGTCCCTTCAACAGTATCAGATCACAGTCAGATTGTGATAGAAATCTCTAGTAGAACAAGTGAATGAGAACACGATCATGTTATAGTCCTCAATAGCCGTCAAACAATCGAGAATGGCAAGTGTCTTTTTGAGAGAGAGAGAGAGAGAGATTTGCAATCCTTTTGAGAATCTTACAAGGGGAACAGTAAATATGTAACTGTAAAACAAAATCACCTATAAACTACAAAAGATAGGCACATAATGCATCTGAGTATGAAAAATGATAGGGCAAGGGACAGTATGAGCAGATTACTATGTATCGATGAGCTCCATTCAGTGAAAATACTGAATTCCTAGTCGATCAGCACTCCTTCCAGTGGATCTAGCTAAGCGATTCGAAAAAGAGCAAGAAAGGCCAGTTATAACCACACCAGCAATAAACAATGTTTTCTGGATTCCATTTACATGGAAGATCAAGAGAAAGCTTATAACCACACCAGCAATAAACAAGGTTTTCTAGATACCATTTACATGGTGGATCAAGAGAAAGCTGGTGACAACAGTTAGGATGTATTCACACTTCATGTTCCGTGCGACTCGGATCGCAGGATGAGCTTATTGTATCTAAAGCTAAATGTGAGAGGTACATTTGCAATGTATTTTAAACATTAAGGCATCCTATTGAATCTTGTTTGTGTGTTACTCAAGACTGGTTACATTTCTAGAGAGTGGTTATTTATCATTCTACACCTATAGCTCCCTCAAAAAAAAAAGGAGTTCCGTTACCCAGCGAAAGACTACTCTGGGTACTAACGTGGGGTGGACTTCTTACTCAAGCAAGTAATACTGAGCAAGTTCTTTCTTTCTTTTGGGTAGTTTGTAGCAGGAATCGAACTTGAAATGTAGTCTTGCTAGGGTCAATTGCTAACCATAAGCCAGATTCTTACTGAGAAATCATTTCCTCCTCTAAGAAAAGCAATCCTTGTAGAGTTTAGACTCACTTTCTGGATTGCTATTCCTTTCTTGAGTTTATCAGAAAAAAGGAAAGATAAATTCATCAAAATACACCTCATATTAACTATTTTACATTTTACCCATGTGTTTTGATTTAATTTCAAATTGCCCAACAAAATACATATGATTTTGAGTTGGAATAGTAGGAAAAGAGTAAGATGTTAAGTAGTTTATAAGTGAAGTATATTTTGATAAAGTTCGCAGAAGAAATTATAGCCAGGTCAATAGAAAACTGGTTGCAAACACCAAGACAATTACTGAATATCTAGCAACAAGAAGCATAAAACAGACATGTCTGAGAATGGAAGGAAATGGATTAATAAGGCAGCAGCTTAACCTATAATACGTGGGCAAAAATGGAAAAATGCGAAAAATGCAGACTAATGGTCAGACTCTAGGGAATAAAGAACTACTCAAAATTAGATAAGGAATGCAAATAATAATAATCATTTAACAGGGATGTGAACTATAAGCCAGTGCAACATGAAAAACCTATCATGGTACATTGGGGTTATTACCGTTAAATGAGATGATGGGTGATGATGGAGAGACAGTGGAACCCACTAGAATCAGTTCATGTTACCAAATGGTGATCCCACCCTCCATCATTATCCAGCATATCAACAGATGGTGAAACCAAAAAGGACTCTGATTTTGCTTTACTTTCCTACATTCCGTCCAACTGTAATTTTCTCCTATTATTCATAAGGGATAAAAAGCAACTGCCTTACAAAGATATTCAAATATAACAGCATCACAAATCATACCTTGAGGGCAACACCAGCACCAAACCAAACATCACCCGAGACCTTTAAACTATCAAGTTCAATGATGCTAGGTATCGACTTGAAGCGACTAAGAAAGTTGCCAACCTGCATAGAAGTAAAAGGTTGAGACAAAATCACACTGTATCTATTTCATCAAACTGTCTCTATTCTCATGACTATCCATCCCTAAGCAGGCAGATGCACCTTTTTGAATTCAGGCCCCAACTCGATGGAGGGATTTGCAGGGTTTGCTCTGGTTTTACTTCGAATTACAAAGCCATCGACCAACGTATAAAGATCCGACTGAAAAAAACCAAAATCAGAATAAAACGACTAAGCCAAAGCCACCAACAAGGATCGATGTCTTACTTTTTGATTTTTTCAAGTTTCAACTATAGAGCAAAGGAAGGATCGTGTTAAGCTACAAACTATCACCAAACCTGGACAAGAAGTAAGTCGGATGTTGCCTTCACTGGAAGGAATCTTGAACGTGGAACATTAATACCAATGGCTTGATCAAAGAACTGGATACCAAACAGTTGGACAGTGTTGATATAAGAATTCTCAACTGATAAAGCTCAGAAAAGAGAGAGATTTCATATTGCATGTACCCTTATAGCTGCACCAGCTGCTGTTTCCAGCTGAAGAACTTTGAAACCATCGACTTCCTGCATATGTATTGAACCTTTTTTAAACTATATGCACATATATTCTATCAATATAAACATTTATTTTTTAACAAAGGACATAAACAATTACTTAGAAGATTAATTGTAACTGTAATGCAGATAACAAGAAAATGCTTGGACCTTAGGATTTGGAATTATCTCCATCTTCAGTGCATCAGATTCCACAAGCCGTTTAATGGCCTTCAAATTTACCCATCTGCACAAATAGAAATTCATTTCCCAAATGTTCCATAAATTACTGTGGGAGAGAAATCAGGTTAATTAGTTCACGTACAAGTTGTTGGTATTGAAAATCTTGAACTTCTCTATTGACTTGAACTCGTTAACCTGAATGGGACATAAACGACAGTTTGCATCAAATGCCCATAACCATAACCATAACCAAATGGGTATTCAAGGAAGACCACAAAACTTACATGTTCATCGGGAACTTGTGCTATTTCCAGGAGCTGCATCCAATAGAGGAAGCAATATGTCATGGCAAATACATTCAATAACATAAGGGCAAGCTTTCTATGCTTCCCCTACAGCATAAAACTTATATAATTCCCTTTATCCAACCGTCCATTCTAAATGGAAGGCTAAGATTGCCCCAATCACAATGTCACGTCT